CAATTGCTGTTGGTAAATGGGGCAATATTCACACCATCCACAATACACAAAGGTCATGGACGATGTAAGCTAGAATTAAATCATACAGAATACATATTTTTCGATGATGGCACGTGTGATTCATTGGATACAGGAGAATTCGCCTCAAGCTTCGCTTTCTCATCGGCGGTACTCCTCATTCTCTTTCATCGACATACACTGATTTGAAAAAATTAGTTCCAGTTGTAGTGGTTAACGCAAGTCATACATATTCAAAACAAACTTCACTATTAAATTCAATAGGGATGTGGACCATTGGCTGATATATTGTATAAATACTTGAAGTTAACCGAAGGTTCTTATAAATCATCAAAAAGTGATAGTCAAGATGGGGCATTTAATGAATCTGAAGATGATTTAGATATAGCAACAATTAATGAAACATTTTCAGAAGATGATGATGAAACTTCGGTTTCATCGAATAAGAAAACGTAAGTTTATAGAGAAAAATCAAATAATACTATATATACATACACAGATTAAAAGAAATGTTGCGATCACTTGGTAAATTTCGTCCCGATTTTGTTAATGATGTACGAAAACTTTATAATATTGTACGACAGCAAAATTATGAAACTCAAAGTAAAAGATTACCGGTGGGCGAACTATTGAGTTTGGAGGAAGAAAAAGCTCTTGGAAAATATTTATATCAAATGGCGAGTTGTTTGAATGCTCCTTTTCGAGATAATATTCATATTTTTAATATCGATTCATCAAAATCTCTCAAGGAAAAAATTTACTATGCATTTGTCCAAGGTAAATTTTTACGAAATTTTAAAATGAAATAAGAACTTATTTTTATCTTAATTAGCAAAAGATAATCTTTCAAAGACGAAGAAAAAATATCATAAAACTATCGATGGAGTATTGGTGATACAATTGGACACCAATCAGCGACTACTACAAAGATTTGAAATGATACCAACAAAGTAGAATGTTACTTTGACTTCTATTCATATAGTTTTTTCATTCTAGATTAAACAAAATCGATTGCTCTTGATTGATGCACTTAGCAAAAATATGTTAATGTTTGTTATGAATTTTATGAAGCTCGATATCGATTTTACCGTTTTATTTCGTCCTACTGATACTCCATTGACAAAAGTTGCCTCTCATTAGTCTCATAAATATCATTATTTGCAAGAATTATATTCGGATACAAAGCGTAAAAATGTAAGACTAATCTATTATCACAGAAGAAAAAGATTTAGTAATTGTTTTGCAAAAACTTGTGGGTGATTTCATGCTTCCACTGTATGACACTCAATCAGATAATGAATTGTTATTATTGGGAACTGAAGAAGATGCTGAACATATATATCGTGATCTCTTTCTTTGGTGTATATTAACTTATCGACTTGATATGGCTAAAATCTTTTTAAGTCAATTGAAAACTCGTATTTGTTCGGCATTGATTGCTTCTAAGATTCTCAAATCATTAGCAGCTTATGCACCGGATCAAGCTGCAAAAGATACATTATTTGCTAAAGCTAATGAATTTGAAACTTATGCTATCGAATCTGTACGATGTGCTTATATTAATGATAAACATAAAGCATGTGAATTGATTATGCGATGTACGAATCTCTATGGAGGTGTTACATGTCTTCAAATGGCCATTGCTGCAGATAACAAAAGATTTTTACATGAAGATGCTTGTCAAGCTCTGTTAACGAATATATGGTATGATAGAGTTGATCCTGTTCAAGAACAAAAACGTCTTGTTGTTAATATACTTACATTTGGAATTTTTCAATTTTTTATATCGATTTATTTGAAGTACTTTTCTAATTATACTAGTGTAAAGCCGGAAAATCATGTAAGTTAATAGCATCTGCGCGCTGAATATTATGTTTATTTATTGATAGATCATCAGACAGGAACGTCCAAAACGACAGTACGTATTCAATAAAACAAACATACAATAACTATTTAAAAAAATTTAGATTGAAAAAAAATGGTATCGATTACACTGATGATTATGGTGCTAATGAAACGATATTTCAACATTTTTTCCATTTTCACAATCGATCCATTGTTAAATATTGTTATACTTGTGTAAGTTCAATTATGTTTAATAGAATTTTTTCTCATATGTATCGTTTTAGTTTGGTTACGTTCTTTTCCTACTTTTCTTCAGTTATTATATGCTTTTTGCATTCTTTCCATTGTCAAAAGAGAAACTCAATATTCATTGGACTGAAATATTAACTATCATTACCGTAACTACCATGCTCTTTGACTACAGTTCTACATCTTTGACTGAATAGTTATTGACTCAAGACAATTGATCGTTAATTGGCAAGATTCGATCATAAATTGATTTGAATAATCGAATATCGAATTTATTTCTGGTTCTGCCAGCATATCTTCTGTTCTATATTGGACTCGCTCTTCGTTTTACACGAAAAAGTCCCCAGGGTTTTCTATCTGCACGGTAAACTTTATGATTAATTTAATATTCAAAGTATGTTTTTTTGTAGAATAGTGATGGCTTTAGATTTAGAACTATCGTTTATTCGTCTGGTTTTATTCATCGGTATTGCTTCGGATCTTGGTCCTAAAATTGTGATGATTCGGAAAATGGTAGATTGGTTGTACTAATATGATTTTTTACCGTCTCATCGTCGTTGTAGACCAATGATCTTATTTTATTCATTATCGTCATCGTTATATTTATTTTCGGCTATGGAGTTTCATCAAGATCCATGACAGCTTATGGTACTATTGATTTCAAAGGTTGGATGGTATAGAAATATCATCTGAAAAAATATATTCGTTTATTTCTTTCTATAGCTACACCGGATTCTAGTGGGACCATAGTCACACAAATCATATTTGCTTTTCATATGCTTTTTGTTAATA